ATCTCAGGGGCTGCCCCAAAGAAGAGGGAGTCAAGTTCTTCTCCAGAGCGCCTGAAGGCAGGAGAAGAAGCAACAGATGGAAACTGATCAAGGAGAGAAGCAACCTAGAACTAAGGAGAAACTTCCTGACAGAATAATTAATCAATGGAATAGCTTATCTCCTGTGGTTGCACTGGAAAAAGTGCAGAGAAGAGCCACAAAGACGATTAGGGGACTGGAGGCTAAAACATATAAGGAAAGATTGATGGAATTGGGTATGTCTAGTTTAACGAAGAGAAGGATGAGGGGGGACATGATAGCAGCCTTCCAATATCTCAGGGGCTGCCCCAAAGAAGAGGGAGTCAAGCTATTCTCCAAAACGCCTGAAGGCAGGACAAGAAGCAACGGATGGAAACCCATCAAGGAGAGAAGCAACCTGGAACTAAGGAGAAACTTCCTGACAGTGAGGACAATTAATCAGTGGAACAACCTGCCTCCAGAAGCGGTGAATGCTCCAACATGGAAGTCTTTAAGAAGAGACTGGACAGCCATTTGTCTGAAATGGTATAGGGTTTCCTGCCTGAGCAGGGGGTTCGACTAGATGACCTCAAAGGTCCCTTCCAACTCTATTGTTATTGTTATTGAATCCACATATCCTTCAAATGGGATTTTCCTGGCTCTGCTGCCAGTCTGGAGTTTTGCTTGACCACTGAAATGATCCCTGGACATTGAGATGGGCCTGTCTACCTTTTCCCTCAAAACTGGCCAGACAATCCAACTCTCAGGATTCCTCACCTCCCAGCTTCCCACTTTAAAAAAAATATCTTTGTTTTCCTAGTCTTGGCTTTTTCAATAATTCTTGGCTTTTTCTTCTCAGAGCTGTCTTTTTTCCCACTGAGCTTTCTGCAAAAGTCCCACTTTTGAGCATTTCAGGGGTGGCAATGTGGCAATATATGACATGTAGTTATTTCTCCAACCTTATTGCATCTGCAGTTGGCCAACAGCTGTCTCTGGGTGGCTGGTTCCTTCTTTTGCAGCTGTGAGGAATATTCTGGGCATTTGGTGGATAAAGTAAGACCATCCAGAAGCTGACAGGCAGAATAACAGAATGACAGAGTTGGAAGGGACCTTGGAGGTCTTCTAGTCCAACCCCCTGCTCAAGCAGGAGACCCTATACTGGGGTAGGCAACCTTGGCTCTTTTATGACTCGTGGACTTCAACTCCCAGAATTCCTGAGCCAGCATGGCTCAGCTTGGAAACCTCTCCCTTTCCCCTCAGCATGGCTGGCTCAGGAATTCTGGGAGTTGAAGTCCACGAGTCATAAAAGAGCGGAGGTTGCCTACCCCTGCCCTATACCATTTCAGACAAATGGTTGTCCAGTCTTTTCTTAAAAAATCTCCAGTGATGGAGCACCCACAACTTCTGGAGGCAGGTTGTTCCACTGGCTAATTGTTCTAACTGTCAGGAAGTTTCTCCTTAGTTCTAAGTTGCTTCTCTACTTGATCAGTTTCCATCCATCGCTTCTTGTCCTGCCTTCAGGCGCTTTGGAGAATAGCTTGACTCCCTCTTCTTTGGGGCAGCCCCTGAGATATTGGAAGACTTGCTATCCTTTCCCCCCTCGTCCTTCTCTTCATCAAACCAGACATACCCAATTCCAGTAACCGTTCTTTATGTTTCAGCCTCCAGACCCCTGATCATCTTTGTTGCTCTTCTTTGCACTCTTTCCAGAGTCTCAACATCTTTTTTATATCATAGCACCCAGTTCCATAAGTGGTGGTGGAGGAGAAAGACTGGAAGGTCCAGGGGGCAGAATGAAAAGAAGGTTTAGCCTAGAAACCCTACATTGCCACAAACCTTCTTACAGTGTCATTGGCCCTTATCTAATTCTAACCAGATATTGATTGTTAATTGAGAAGATTCGTGTGTACAGCCTTTTAGCAATAATTCAACCAAATAATTGCTAAATAATTGAATAATTTAGCAGCTTAACTGAACCTTCACATGTGGCCCTGGTCTTTTGTACCCTGCAGGTGCAGTGGTAGGATTCAGCAGGTTCGCACCACTTTGGCAGAACCGGTAGCTAATTTTTTGTTGCCCAGGCCCAGAACGGACTCCCAGAAGCGGCATCCATGCAGGGAACCGGTTGTTCACCTGTTTGAATCCCACCACTGTGCAGGTGGCCACTTTGAGAGTTATGACAGTTCCACCAGACTTGAAGGAGGTGATGGTGGTGGTGTCTCAAGGGGTTTTTCCTTTTCAAGAAGGTTCTTGAGAAGGTGATTGGGTTACAGAAGAAGAAGAAGAAATAGATTATTTAGACCCTTGTCAATTGGGTTTCAGGCTGGGACACAGTATGGACACAACACTGATCACATTTGTGGATGACCTGTGATGGGACCGGGATGGGGAAGGTGAAGCCATCCTGGTTCATCTTGGTCTCTGGATGGTTCTCATTGCCACCAGTCATTATATCGTTCTGGGTGGGAGAGTGGGAGGCAGAGGATCTGGTGGTCATCCTCCTTTCTCCATGACTGGTTCCAGTAAGTATTGATAGGAGGAGAGAGGTCAACCTTGAAATCTTTGGGATGCCTCAGGGGTTGAAGCTCTCACCCATTCTCTTTATCATCTGCAGGTGGCTCCTAGGTCAAGTCATCCATTAGCTCAGGATCAGGTATCATCAGCATGCTGAGGGATACTCAGCTATACATCATGACCCTTGGCCAGCCAAGCAATGTGGTCAACTCTTGGCCCAAATGCCTGGAGGGTTTCATTGGATGGAACCAGCTGAAACTCAACCCTAGGAAGACTGAGTGGCTGGGCTGTTCTAGTCCCTGGCGCTGTGGCTTTTGCATATTGGTGCCTGAAAAGAATTTAATATCTCCTTGGGGGCTGGTACAGAGTCTGGGGGTCCTCCTGGAGATGCAGCTCTTGCTTGAAGAGTAGGTGACAGCTGTGACCAGGAGGGTTTTCACACAGATTCATCTTGCAAGCCATTGCATCCTTCCCTGGCCTGGAGAATGGGGTGCATTGTAACAATCAGTCAAGCCAAGTCCAACCATTATTTCTTCTCCTGCCCTCTGGTGCTTTGGAGAATAATTTGAGCAAGGGGCTAGACTAGAAGACCTCCAAGGTCCCTTCCAGCTCCTATTCTATTCTATTCTATTCTATTCTATTCTATTCTATTCTATTCTATTCTATTCTGCTCTGCTCTGCTCTGCTCTGTTCTGCTCTATTCTGTTAATTCCCATCTATTCTATTCTATTCTATTCTATTCTATTCTATTCTATTCTATTCTATTCTATTCTGTTCTGTTCTGTTCTGTTCTGTTCTGTTCTGTTCTGTTCTGTTCTATTCTATTCTATTCTAACCCATAATTCTATTCTATTCTATTCTATTCTATTCTATTTGCCATATTCTACTCTACTCTACTCTACTCTGCTCTGCTCTGCTCTGTTCTGTTCTGTTCTGTTCTGTTAATTCCCATCTATTCTATTCTATTCTATTCTATTCTATTCTATTCTATTCTATTCTATTCTATTCTATTCTATTCTATTCTCTCATGGATGGACTACTGCAAGGTACTCTTCATGGAGATGCACTTGAAGATCCTTCAGAGATGGTCAGCATACGGTAGCTCAAGCAGATGATGTGCAAACCATATCACATCCAGAAAACATCCTTACTTCATGTTACCCTGGCTACCCTCGGCTTCTGGGTCCCACCTATCACCTATGAAGGCCTATATGCTGTCAGCTGCCCAGAGCCATTGGATATGAGATGGGCATCAAATTTCCTAAATAAATAAATAAATATGGCCCAGCCCCAAATTATTTGAGACACGTTCTGTCTTCTTTAGTTTCTGCTCATCCTGTGGTCACCGACAAGAGTTGACTCCTTCTGGCTTCCATGGATAAAGCAGTGGCATCTAGCACACCTGAAGAAAGGTGAATTCTCAGTGTTTTCACATGCCCTCTGGCGCTCCCAACCCTACCTGGCCAGGGTTGGAAAGGAAGGCCATTAAAAGGCCTCTCCTAAGGTCTAGGTCAGGGTTAGGCAACCTTGGCTCTTTTATGACTCGTGGACTTCAACTCCCAGAATTCCTGAGCCAGCATGGGGGAACCATGGCTCCCTTGATGTCTCGTGGACTTCAACTCCCAGAATTCCTCAGCCAGCATGGGGGAACTATGGCTCCCTTGATGACTCATGGACTTCAACTCCCAGAATTCTGGGAGGTGAAGTCCACGAGTCATAAAAGAGCCAAGGTTGCCTACCCCTGGTCTAGGTGATGTGTGGTGGTGAGTATCTGTTTTGGCCTCTGCTAAAGGAAGTAAGGAGATTGCGGTGGCTTGTCCCTGTGGTAGATGCCATCAGTTGGGTTTAAACAGGGATTACACAGTTTTTGTATATGTCAAAATTCTGTATATGTCAAGGAAGACCACCCCCACCATGAGTGACAGGGCAAACCAGTAGAATATAAACTGAGAGCAAACGCCAATACTGACCTACTGTGGGTAATGAAATATCTGCAGGAAAACCACCAAGCTCAGAGAGCATCAAAGACCCCAAAATCATTGTCGTCGTTGTCGTCATCCTCCTCCTCCTACGGTCCTCTTCCTCCTCCTCCTCCTCCTCCTCCTCCTCCTCCTCCTCCTCCTCCCCCCTCCCTTATCTCACTGATGGTGCTACCTAATTGGGTCATGAAATGTCTGCAAGAAGACCCCCAAGCTCAGAGAGCCCTAAGGACTCCCCCCCCCATTTCAACCCTGAGCTACGAATCTGTATGTCAAGCTGCCCAGAACCAGTTTGGAGACAAGTGACTTAAACATTTAAAAAAATCATGATTGTAGAATTGACCTCAGCCTCTCCTTGGTGAGGGGCTGTTCAACCATCTTGTGAAAGAGAAAGGAATGTGTATTGTCACTGCATTAAGTCATCCTACTTCCTGGATCTGCAGGGGTGAAATTCCCAGTGGGGAGAATAAATAGACCGAGCAGCCCAGGTGTGGGGCAGACGGCATCATCATGTCTTCTGGAGGTCTTCTTCTCCTACTGGGACTCCTCACCCTCTGGGCAGAGCTGACCCCCATCTCTGGAGAGAAACCCCGTCCCCGGCCAAGTGAGATCTTCCAGAATGATCTTGAAACCCTTTGCAGGAAGGGGTTGACGTGGTCAAAGGGCAGAGTTCTCCCCAGGGAGGGAAAACCAAGAGCCCCGGTCTAGAACCTCTGGCTTGGTGGAAAAGTTCTTGAGATGGTAGTTGGGTATCAGCTGAAGAGGAAACAGAAATGGGAGGGGGCCCCAAGAAAGAGAAATGCAATTTTGGAGGAAGGCTCTCCTATACTTAATGCAGATTAATACAGAATAACATTAGTAGTTCAGGGTTGACACAAGGGGTCCTCAGTGCTCTCTGAGCTTGGTTCTTTTCTTGTGAACTTTTCATGATCCAAACTAGGTAACATCATCAGGGTTCATGAGGAGGTTCCCTTTTTTCAGTGATAAAATGTCTTCAAAAAAAACTACCCAACATCCAAGCTCAGAAAGCACCAAAGGCCCCAACAGGATCCATCATTCAGCCGTCTAGTCCAGGGGTAGTCAACCTTGGCTCTTTTATGACTCGTGGACTTCAACTCCCAGAATTCCTGAGCCAGCATGGGGGAACTATGGCCCCTCATGACTCGTGGACTTCAACTCCCAGAATTCCTGAGCCAGCATGGGGGAACTATGGCCCCTCATGACTCGTGGACTTCAACTCCCAGAATTCCTGAGCCAGCATGGGGGAACTATGGCCCCCTCATGACTCGTGGACTTCAATTCCCAGAATTCCTGAGCCAGCATGAGGGAACTATGGCCCCTCATGACTGGTGGACTTCAACTCCCAGAATTCCTCAGCCAGCATGGGGGAACTATGGCCCCCTCATGACTCGTGGACTTCAACTCCCAGAATTCCTGAGCCAGCATGGCTCAGCTTGGAAACTCTCCCTTTCCCCTCAGCATGGCTGGCTCAGGAATTCTGGGAGTTGAAGTCCACCAGTCATAAAAGGGCCAAGTTTGCCTACCCCTGGACTAGTCTGACCCCCCCCCCCCAGAGCAGGAAACCAAATTAATACATCTTAGGTGCCTCTGGACTGTTCGCAGACTGAGCATGCTAAGAGGGCACCAGGTTGGGGAAGTGAGTTAAAGACTTTTGAGCCAGCCAATCGAATAACATCCCTCCTTCAATTTGTCACAGAGTTTTGTTATCTTCCTGTTGTAACCGGACCATGTCATGCCAGAATTCCTCGCACCCACTACAACCCGGCTTTGAACCGATGTCAACAGTTTATTTACGGTGGATGCAAGGGGAATGAAAACAATTTTAAGGACCTCAATCAATGTCGCTACACTTGTGTTGGTAAGTGGGAAAGGAGCTGCGGACGAACTCTTCCGATACAAGAGAATATTCGCGATTCGGGATTGAACTGTGGGCTCCTGAGCGCTTTCTAAGCTCGGCTGTTTCACACAATCGCAGAATCAGAGTTGGAAGAGACCTTGAAGGTCATCTACTCCAACCCTCTGCTGTCCTGTAAACGTTTCGTGACCCAAATAGGTAACATCTTCAGGGCTAGGAGGGAATAAGATTTGCCCATTATTTATAACTCATCAAGGAGAGAAGCAACCTGGAACTAAGGAGAAACTTCCTGACAGTGAGAACAATTAACCAGTGGAACTACCTGCCTCCAGAAGCGGTGAATGCTCCAACACTGGAAGTTTTTAAGAAGAGACTGGACAGCCATTTGTCCAAAATGGTGTAGGGTTTCCTGCCTGAGCAGGGGGTTGGACTAGATCAGGGATTTTCAACCTTTTCACCCATTGTACCACTTTTAGGATATGGCAACATCCGAGTACCACCAGTCGCCTAGCAAGGTGTCAAAAACTTCATGACCCCCCCAAAGGAAAAAAGTGATAAAGTACAGGTAGTCCTCGACTCACAACAGTTAGCTTAGTGACTGTTCGAAGTTACAATGGCGCTGAAAAAAGTGCCCCCCAAGCCACAGCTGAGCAAGACAGCACCTGGTGGCGCTCTTCCTCCTGTCTGAGGCTTTCATTGTTGTGAGTGTTTCTGTTGAGGATTGGCAGCGGGGGTGGGGTGGGGGGTGTTTGGTTTTTATTCCCCCCCCCGTCTGCTGGGTGGTTGCAGCAGGTTTTGGTCACTTCACACGACCCTGGGACACTGTGACCGTCATAAATATGAGTCAGTTGCCAAGCATCTGAATGTAAATCACAAGACCCTGGAGAGGCTGCAACATTCCAGCTGATCGACGCTTCATCTGGGCTCAGCAGAAGCACCAGGATCAGCGCCGAGCTCCAGCTGGAGCCTAGCGCTGATCCTGATGCTTCCACTGAGCCCTGACAATCCCAAAGAAGCACTGATCCTGGCGCTTCCGCTGAGCCCTGACAGCCCTGCAACTCTAGCCACCTCTCGCTCAGGCTTGTCCGGTGCAGCCACTGGTTCAGCTCATTCCCCTCCCCCACTACCGCTTTTCTGGGATGTTCGCGTACCACCTGCCAGGTGCCAATGTACCACAGGTGGTACCCGTATCACTGGTTGAAAAGCCCTGGACTAGATGACCTCCAAGGTCCCTTCAAACTTCTTTCTTCTTCTTCTTCTTCTTCTTCTTCTTCTTCTTCTTCTTCTTCTTCTTCTTCTTCTTCTTCTTCTTCTTCTTCTTCTTCTTCTTCTT